GGCTCAGGGCCAAGAGCGACCCCAGGCACACACTGGCCGGAACCGGCGTTGTGCTCTCCAAAGCCGAGGGACAGACAGCGAGCCTTCCCCGCTGGATGCAGGTGGGCTGATGCAGCAGGCGGTGCCAGCAGAAGCTTTGCTGCAGAACATCTGCTCACTGAGATCTCCGGGCCTGGCACCTCAGAAAGCGGCACAGGGGTGCTGGAATTCCTGGTTCGCTTTCCTTATGCTCAGAACTTGCCAAAGAAGCTTCAGTTTGTGATTTGAGCTCAGTAAATGACTGTTTGTACTGTGGAAATAATTGCAAACTCCTTGTAGAAAAGCCACCGTTTGTTTTTAGCTTGCAGTGAGAGGAGTGGGGTATTCCTGCCATGCCTAGTGAATCCATTCTCTGGTGAAGGGTTAGGGAAGATGTGTTTGCAGTGTCTTGTGGTTTCCAGGAGATCAGCTGAGCCCAGCTTGCACATCCAAGGCAATTCCTGCACGAGTAGGTGATGATAAGGAATCCAAGGCCTTTGCTGGTTTGTGTGACAAGTTTGCCCATTTCAGTTCCTTTTGCTCAGCTCCTGGTTGCCTTGAGGTGGTCCTGTGTGACACCTTTCAGCTGCTCTGGTCTCTGCAGAGCTGATTCCTGTGCTTTACACAAAAGCAGTCACCGACTTTAGCACTGCTTTGGCTCATAAGGAAAAGATTTTCCTCCCTAAAGAGCTTGCTGCCCTTCTCACTGGCTGTAGCACATGTACAGTGATATGTCAGAGAGCTGAGGGTGTATTAGATATGCAGGTTTCTTCTGGCATTACATAAATAATTTACATAAGCAATGCCAGAATATGTATTATGGTGGAAACATATCATGTTCAGATTCTGAATTTGTAAGAGCAGGGATTCCATTGAATTGCGCAGAGTGAACATGACTGGAATATTTCCCTGATTTCTTTAAGTGCTTACTTTGTGGCTTTGGCACTTCATTCCTTCACACAGGACACACGTTGGGATTTGAGCGCCCTTTAAACACAAGTTATCAGTGCTGACTCAGTTCCTTGACTGATTTGCCTTCCCAGTGCAGAGCTGAGGCTGCAGTTTTGAACCTGGATATCTCAAGAGCCATCCTGGATCCCTGTGTTCAGAGGTGTTTGCACACACTGGACTCAGGGGACTTGCCAGCCTCCTTCCCAGCACTCAGCTAATTGTTCCATGAGGATCTACCCACTTAACTCCTCTAATCAGGGTGTGGTTTTCTTATACAGGATGTGAGTGTTAATTAACTCTTACTTTCATTACTCCAGGGATCTCTTTATAGAATCACCCATGTTGTGACCTGATGCTGCTGTCAAATATGGCTGTTCTTGTGTCTTAATTTAATTTTACTATTCTCTCCTCTGCTACTGCAGAGGGTGTTAATTTATATACCCATGGCCCTTCCAGAACTTGTAAAACTGACCTGTCAAAGCCTTTGCTCACACTTCCAAATATTGCCTTGTAGGCACATTGGAGATAAGACTGATCCTCCATTTCTGTTCCTACTTTCCCTGCTCATTGCATGGTACAGTTGAGAAGGAGGACTTGATTTAGCATTTAGGAGGAGAAATTTGATCAGGCATTAGGTCAGCAGAGAGGAGGAGTAGGACAGAAGCTGAACTCGTGCCAGGCCTGAGTGTGCCTCTGCTCCTGGGAGAGCACGTGCACCTCCCTGAGCTTTCCTTGTGCCCTGCTAGAGGCAGTGGGGAAGGGGCTGTGGGGTACCTGCTCTGGGGAGCCCTGGGCAAGAGGAGCTGTGCTGCTGACCCCTAAAACAGGCAGGGGCTGGCCTGACAGCTCCTGTGGGCATTAAGAGCACCCTTCTGGTGGCAGTTCAGATCTTCTTGGCCTTGGGTATTAAAGGTCTGTTTGTGTGCCCTAATCCTGCAGGTCTCACCCTGAGTGCTCCCTGTGCTCTGCCTCAGCACTTTGTGGGGATCCAGCAGTGAAGAACAGGGAGCAGCTTTCTCTGCTAATCTGATACTCCAAGTGTTCCCGTACTCTGATGTGTCTGTTCCCTTTTTAGAGGCAGTAAATGATTTTTTTATAGAGGTACAAAGTGGTACAGCAAGGTGCCAGAGAGAATTTGTGCCAGTTCTTTCTCTTCTTCTGTCCCTTGTCATCTCAGAGTGGCTGAGGGTTCCCAGCCTTTGCCTGGGAGCAGGAAGGCACAGACAAGACAACAGTTCAGGGAGAAGCTTCAGGGGAATACTTGTGACGTTAGACAAGCCATTCCAGGGCCACCAAAATACAGAATGGTGAGAATGGTGCCTTTTCCTGTTAGTACAACAGCTTTATTTAAAATCTCAGAGCTTGTAAATATTACAGATCACAAGGTGATTAAAATATGTTTGAGGCCAGAAATTTGTTCCCAGATTCAGCCCTTCCAGCAACACTGAATATTGGATGAAATGCAAATTGAGAAAAGATGTGATGTGGAGGAACTTTATGCCAGCAATCTCAGGGAGAGGGAAACTAGGACAGTGTGAGATGATGTCTGATTTGGCCCTATTAATTGGACAAGGGCAGAGGGAAGAGGTTAGTATTGGCTCGGGGAAGAGGAATGTCCTTTGACAAAATGTGTGCCCCTCCCTTGGACAAAAAAAGTTTCTGTTTCAGTTCCCTGAATGGAGCAAGTCATCCAGGCAGTAGAATGGTCTGTCTCTGTTCTTTCAGGCTTCAAAATGTCCTCTCAGATAAAGTAAAACATGCTTTTTCCCTTTTTTTTTCCAACAGGAAAGAGACTACAAGAATGGATCTCTGTCATCTTATGCTTCTCTCTGATCTGCTTCAACTTTTACAATCTCCTCTTGTACCTGCGGCTGGAACACACGCCCTCGGTCCTCGTTGGGATATGTAAGTGGGAGCTGCTTGCTGCCCTGCTCAGGGCAAAACTCTTGTGATGTGGGAAGCAAACGTGGCATCCTTTAGGCTTGACCTGTTTTTGGAAAGGGAGAGGGACATTTGTGTGTGAGCCTCTGAAACTGAGACCATCTGCACAATGTGTTACTGCTTTGTCTTTGCATTTCAGTGGCTTCTCAGTGTCTCAGAGGGGAAGTTGTGATGTAGCTGTGTAGGTTTGGTGTTCTTGGGTAGTCACTGCAAGTGTAAGGACAATTGAGAAGGAAAAGGGCTGTCAGAATGGTCAGAGTCGGAAACTAAATACATTGATTGACAAAAATATTCACAAGAACTTTCAGAAAGCAGAAGCTCAAGGGAAATGTTATAAAAGGGGCTTCAGGCATCAAACTGGCTTCATTTCTGGGACTGCAGACTGAACACAAGAATTTTGGAAAATTGTGCTTTCCCGTCAGGATGTGATGTTTGGCTTCTATCCTGAATGAAGACTTTTTCCAGGAGTATAACAAAAGTTGATTCCACCTGATCTGTGGAGGAGAGTAAGAACCAGTGAAGGGTGCTGATAGGATGTTCAGCTCCTGTGCTTTAGAAAAAAATAGCTTTCCTATAAACTGTATGTGGTGTGTGTTTTAGAAGAGAATGGTACTCATTCATAATCAGAGCTGTACATTGCTAATGAGCTCAAACAAAACTCACCCAAAACACTGCACCAGGTTCAAGCAGTGGTACATAAGAGAAGCTCTGAATTTCTGCCAGTGCTGGGACGTGCTGATTCCTGATGTCTGCATTAGAGCTTTTTGGCTTTGTTGGGGCTGGGGGGGAGCAGTGTCCTCCCCTGTGAGTCACACCAGCTCTCTTGGCCTAATTCAGGCTTGCCTGCTCTCAGCTGATGGGGTGGAGGTGTTGGGAGGAATGGAGAGAGCGTGGCATGGGAACTGCTCCGTAGGGATGAGGGCAGATCCAGACAAGAGATCAGCAGTGATGCTTAACCTGTGGTGCAATCTGTCTGCAGCTGGCTTTCATCTCAAAGTTAATATTGATAAAAGCTGGGCTTCTCTGATATCCTGGTTACTGGTTTAACTGATAAAGCAGCCAATTCACTGATAGTAGTATTTAATTAGTAGTGAATGATTAAAGTAGCAGAATCTGGATTCTGTGTAAATAAAGTGGTGTGGAAATAACTGATACTGTGTACAAAAATGACTGCCATAAAATAGTGCTTCAGGCTATCTTGTTTTGTTGCCTTCAATACATTATTTCTCCAGGTGAAGTGTGAATGTTGTCTGTAATTCACAGTGATTATTAGGTTTTATTGCATATTGTGAAAGTCATATCCATAAAAATCCTAATTCCTAAATACGTGAGCAGCTCCATGGGCACAGTTGGGAGTCCTGAGTCACCCACAGGGTGAGCTGTGTTCCACTGACAGCTTCCCTCAGGCTTGGTTTGGAATACTGACCTTTGAGCTGAAGTCACAAAATAAACATTCTGCTAATAAAGATGGAGCTTTAGATCAAGTTCCTGCCAGGTCTTTGGGAATCTGAAAGGGGTCACTGTTCCAGTGGGCTGGATCTGTTCTGCTGCACAAACCTGCTCACTTAATGGGGACCCTCTGTGTGCTCTTATGTAAATGTATATTTTCTTTTAGGAAATGAAGTAGTTTGAACATCCTGCATGATTTCACTGAGCCTAAACCCTGTGTCTGTAATTAAAGGCCGTGCCATGGCTTCTTTCTTTCTGCCTTCAAAGGCACACAGAATTGTGACACGAGCAATGCTGTAACTACCCCAAGCTGGGGTTCTTGGGGCAGGAGGGATGTGCTCCTGCTGCAGCTGGCATCGGGCAGCACGTCCCTGGCTGTGTGCTGTGGCTGTGCTGAGTCACTCTGTGTCCACAGGGGAGTGCAGCACTGAGGGGACACCTCTGTGCCTCTGCTTCAGCTCTTGGGCTGTGTCATGTCCTGCTGACTAAAGATGAGCTTGCTGGACAGGAAGAGCCACATGACTCTCTTGTATTCCAGGCTGGTTTGGCAGAGATGAGACAATTTCCTTCCCCTCCTCACCATAAAAAAAAATAAATAAAAATATATATATATATATATATAAAAAGGGTGGGAGAGGATGGATTTCTGTTGTGGCTTGTGCTAACTCCAGTCATGCCATTCTAGATTCCTCAGCTGCTGGGCAGCCGTGGAACTGTTCCTCTTTCTGCAAGCTGAGAGCAGTGCAGATGTGAGTTTGGTGTTTTATTTGCATGCACACAAGGACCCAGTTAACTCAGGCAGCCCTGGCTGGGAGTGGGGCTGTGGGGGAGGTTGAACACCCCCGTTTTTCCCACTGCAGCAGGACAAGATCCCAGCAGGGCCACAGAACCAGAGCAGCCTCTGCCACTGTAATCAAAGGTTGGGAGTGCCAGGGACAAGGCTGGCAAAGGGATTATTGTGTGGTAAGCAGAAAATCCTCACCAAGATGTGTAATATCTGGCTCAAAAGCTCCTGTACCTTCAGGTGAGCTTATGGTGTCCTGATTGTTCAATATACATGAGCTGAGTGTATAGTTCATACACTAATAACATCTAGATAAAACGTTTGGCAAGTTACAGTATGAATCATGGTTTTAATTTTCATCTCCTTCCTCCTATTTCTGTATTGGGTTTTAAGCCCCTTTCCAAGTTGGTTGACTTATTTCAGACATTTGACTGTTGTCTGCAGCCACATTTGTTCATGACAGGGACTGCTCATTGCAGTCTTACAAAAGAAGAAGAGTTAACTTTGTGTTGTAATTTGTTTATATTCCTAAGAACTGCCCCACATAGGACAGATATCTCTAGGAACATCTTGTGACATGATACAAGTTGCAGTTAATTACTGCTCTATTGAAAGATGGGCAACTGATTTTTTTAACCCATTTGAGGTACATATTTCATTATTGCAGAGGTTGTGGGCTAGCCAGAGAGAGCACACAGGAAGAAATCACTTGGTGCAGTTTCAAAATAGAAACTGGATCTCATCAAGGCCCAGAACCTCTTTGTTTTGAGTTCCAGCAGCTCTGCAGGGCTGCCCTTGGCCAGCTGCATTGCAGAGCCAGACACTGAGTGTGTAACACACAAAAGCTGTGGCACACATTGGAGAAAAAACATTCGAGACATCAGTGCTGGCTGAAGTGAGTGCTGGGCACGTGGGTCAGGTGGTTTAATTTTGTTTTAAAAGGTTCTTGAAATGACACCAGGAACCCCAGCTAGCAAAAGATCCTTTGCTTCAGTGCTGGTCCAAGTAAGTCACTTCTCACCCACCTGAAGTCACCATCAGCTAGCTGTGGGTAATTTTGTGTTTCCATTCTTAGCAGCATCATCTGTTGAAGAGGGAAACTGCACAAGGTGTGATTGAAGAGAGGGATTTGATTCTGTTACCCTTTGCAGGGTAGCTCTGTGTGGCAGCAGCAGGGTTTGTGTTCTGCCGTGGGTGCCTTGGGCAGAACCGGGCTGGGTTCCTGTGAAGCCTGGGTGGGTCGGGCACCAGGAGGAGGAGGAGGAGGAGGAAGGTGTTGCTCTTGGAAGGGAAGTGACCTGCTAGAGTTATTGCCAGCTTGCACTCCCCAGGTGATGCTGCATTGCTGTCTGTTCTTGGTGTGGCTGGCGTTGGGGATGGGCTCCTCCTGTGTGCCCTGGTGGGGCAGGGTCTGCCAGGCCCCTGCCCTGGCACTGCAGGGACGCTGCTGGCACTGCCCCATCCGTGTCCCCACGGGTGTGCACGGGGACAAAGGCAGCTCTGTCTGCCTGTGCAGTTGTCAGGGCTCTCTTAAAGTTACAGCCGACTTTGGCTGGAGGATTGAGTTCCTCAGGTGGTGATTCTGAGCCAAGCTGTGCTTTTGCAGATGAGTGTTTGCTTTAAGGTCTGCTGCTGCTCAGCCCTGGAGGAGACAGGAGCCCGGTTCCTTGGGGTCTCCTTTCACTGCGGTGTCCAGCTGTACCCCAAGGCTGAGTGGCTGTGCCCTGCTGGGGAGCAGTGCTGGAGCAGGACCTTGGTCCCAAGGGTTCCAGAGCAGGGAGTAGCCCCAATGAGAGGTGGAGTGCCAGGTGTGCCAGGGCAGCTGCTGAGCCTGTCCCTGAGGCTGTCCCTGTCCCTGGAGTGCGGGTACTGCACACAGGACTCACTGGAAACCCTGCTTACAGTGGGATTGGTAAAACTGCTGTACACACTGATACATTTGCTGTCCCAGCCCTGCTTTTGGGCACTCTCAGATCCACTTCTGACTGAAAGTTTCTCAGTTTCATTAGCCAAAATTATGAACTCTCTTGTTTTGCTTTCAAGCTGCTACAGTTTATACTTGTTGGAATGTCCAGGGATCATTATCTTAACCTTGTAATGTGCCATGATATCAAGCCCCTGCCTTCTCTGCACTGAAGGTCACTAAATGGAGACTGCAGGTGACCAAGGCATTTTATTTCTTAAGCATGTAAGTGACAAAAAACTGGTATATTGATATTTAGACAACAAGATTTTTTCTGTGTGAAGTTAGCCACGCCAACCCTTTAGTGCTGTTTGACCAGTTTACACAGTCACTGATTAAACATGACTGTTCTCAGTGATGTTACACAATAGCATCAAGTTATTTAATAACACCTTATCCTGGTTTCTTCCTCTCCAGAGACTCTAACTGAATTTTTACAATAAATGTGAAACTTTGTATACTTTGATGTAAGACTTCCAGGTTACAATTTGATCATTCTATCTACGAAAAGCCAGGCTTATGCCTGGCTCATAAAATGTGGGTGAAGTACAGCTTTTAATGGTAGATATGCACAGCAGTTTTGTCTCTCAAAGCTCCTGTGGGGCCTCCTCCTTGTGCAAGCCCCAGGAGCAGCCTGGCCACGGGAAGTGGTTTGAGAGTCACCCACAAGAGCAGAGGTTGCAGGTTGTCTCTGAGTTTGAAGCAGTGAAGAGATGGAGAGGGGCCTTTCCTGGGTCACAAAGCGTACACATCCCCTGCTTTGTGAGCAGGGCACGAGCGGGACAGAGCTGCCCTGTGTCCCTGCTGTGTTTGGGGCAGTTGATTGTCCAGCCCCATGTCCTGCTCTGGGGAGAGGCACCTGCTGTGCCCATGCAGAGGATCAGCTGTGGGGAAATGGGACAGAGCAGCATTCCCAGCAAATGTACGTGGCAGTCGAGTGTTTGCTTGGATACTGGCTGGAGTCCCTTTGTGCACCTCTGGGCTCTGCTGGGCTGCCCTCCTTCCTCCTTATTCTGCAGTCCACCTGCAAACCAAACATGCCAGTGTTCTGAGCAAGTCCTGCAGCTGGAGTCCTCCTGCCTGCTCCTGTGTGCTCCGAGCATCGCCCCCTGCTCAGGGAGAGCCCCTGGGTGGGCTGATCCTCGCCCTCCCTCAGGAAGCTGGAGAAAGCTGATGTGTGTGGGTTGGGACTTCCCTAATGCTGCACTGAGCTGCCTTCTGCTGAGTGTTGAACCCACAGTTTGCAGTTCTGTGCCTGAGCTGAGGTTATCTTGCTTTTCCTGGCTGTGTGGTTAACACTTCAGCCGTGCTCAGGGCTGTCAGTCTCCTCTCGCCCTCCCAGCCTCCCTGACAGAACACCGAGATCTTTCACCACCTCTGAGCAGCAGCTGAGCTCCTGTGCCTTGTGTTGAGTGAAGGCAGTGCTGGGTGTGGGAGGGTGCTGAGCCCAGTTTATCAGTGGGACGTGTCCCCTGAGCCCAGGGACAGGACACAGCGAGTGTCACCGTGCTGGTCCTGTGGAACCTCAGCACAGCTCTTGCTCCTTTATTGCAGCAATAAATTATTGCAATAATTATTGCAGCTCCTCATCCTCAGGAGCGCAGAGGAGCGAGCACACCCTGCTGCAGTACAGAGCAGGATTGCTGGCACTTAGGGTTTTTCCCAATTGCTTCAGTATAATGCACTGCTCCAGGCACCCTCCATTCTTCCCTGGACCAGCTGACATCAAAGCAACACCAGGAACATCTACTGAATTGTCGGTATTTTGCCTCAATTTGTGTTGCTGTTCCTGCAGTTATTTCACTGGGATGATGCAGCAGCTGGAGGCAAGGCAGGCTAATGGGGCATTACCTCCTGAGAATGGAGAAACAACATTTGAGTTGTTGCAAAGAGAAGTGTTGTTTGGATCTCTTCCCCTGAAGCCAGGCTGCTTGCCCTTTCAGCTGCCAGATCTAAACGCTATTGTGTCCCACCCGCTCTGAAACAACAACAAATGTACAGAATTTACTGCTTACAAAATAAGCTGTCTTCAGTGTAATAAGGGGGTAGATAAAGAATGAAGTGTCTCCTGCTGCATTTAAGACTTTGGGCCAGCTGGATAATGGACTCAACAGTGGGGGCTGATTTGTCATATGAAAAGAGCTTTTTAATTTCTTCCCCCTTTCTGAAAATGAAAGGTGGGGGGAAAGACTGCAGAGGTGAGGGGTCAACCAAGCTAAAGGCACCTGCTAGGAGAGGTATTTCTGTTCTGTAGGAGATGGGTGAAACACAAATACAGATTTGATGAAGAATGTTTCTGCCCAAATGGTGTCTTGCTAACCTCTTTTTCCTAATTGCCTGACCATATGTTCATTCAGACTGGGTAGATCACATGTGGTTGTAAATACATAAGTTAGAGGCAGATAAACAAGTAAACTTGTAAAACAAGAATAAGATGTGACTGAATCAGTAAAAATGCTGTGTTTGTCTGACTCTCTCTCTCTCTCATTCAAGTTGCAGGAGTTATTACAGCCGACTTCCTCTCAGGATTGTTCCACTGGGGAGCAGATACCTGGGGATCTGTGGAGCTGCCCATCATTGGAAAGGTCTGACATTGTTATTCTTGAGCTTGAAAAAGTCCTGAAGTCCCTTCTGCAGCACTGGCAGTGCTCCAAGCTGGGCTCTGTGCCACACCAGCCCGGGGAACGGCCTGGGCAGGGCTGGGCAGGGCTGTGTGTGCACCTGGCCTGGGGGACACGTGAAAGGTGGCACTGCTCCCTTTTGTCACCTGCCTCGAGGCTGGCAGAGCTGCAGTCCCAGTGTTTGCAGACCTTCCAGGCTGTGTGGGAACAGCCTGTGACACCACAAGTGTTGGAACCTGGCTGGGCACTGTGGATGTTCAGGAGGTCAGGAACACAGATTTGGAGAGTTGTCCCTGCAGCTGAACTCCTAAAAATGTGTGAAACCTGAGGCTGCTCCAGGAAGAATCTTCCCAGTTTCCACTTCTACAGCCCCTGCTGTAACACAGTAATATTAGAACAGTGGTGACTGAAGATTTAATTAGAGATGTGTTACACATCTGCAGCTACAAATGCCAGTTGCTTCGTGGAAGCTGCACTGGCTTCTGTAGTAAGCAACAATCTGTTTTCTTAATTAAATTTCTTAATAGCTACCATTAATTACTCATCCCAGTGCAATATTAGAAGGACTGTTATTTAAAAGAAAAAAAAAAAAGTGAGCTATTGCTTGTTACTACCCAGAGTTACACAAACTACAACAGCAGAATTGAAACTGTTGAGTTTGGTTTGTTTTTGTTCACCTTCAATAGGCTTAGTAGTCTTGAACCCCTGTATCTCTGGACCAGAGTTTAAATTATTTTTAAAAACCCTGCTGCTAGAGACCCTGCACTAAATAACCACGAGCTGAGTCTGCTCAGGACAGCTTTGCACAGGCTGGACATGCTGGAAGTGTTAAAGGCAATTCAGTGACTGGTTTGACTGTCCCACACAGAAAAACAATTGCTCTGTGTGTTCAGATGTGATTTCTGCTCATAGAGGTGACTTCTGTTTGTCTTCCACTGCTTTGTCCAGTCACTTAATTTGCATTTAGTCTGTTAGTGCTGGAATCTGTAGCCCATAAATGTAGTAGGCTGAATCCTAAATTTTTTAGTGGTTTTTTTTTTCTTGGTTGATTCTGCTTAGCAAGTGAATTTCACAGGTTTATTTTACCTGAGAAATTAGTGTCCTGATGCTTTGTTTTTAAACAAATGCAAAAGGTCCTAAGTGAACATTTAGGAGAAAACTAAAAAGCAAAGAAAACCTGGTTATGGGAACTGAATTGCTTTGCAAATGTAAATCAAATGATCTGAAGTGTCATGATGACAAAAGTTAGAATCCTGCTTATGTGCTTTGTACTGTGGAATTCTCTTCAACTCAGTCATCAAATTGGAGTGTATGAGAGGGTTTTTGGGTTTGTTTGGGTTATTTTTTTGTACTGTTTTTCTTTTCCAAGACCGTTATTGAGTGTGGTATTGTGTTTATCCAATTATTTTCCCAGGCTTTCATCAGGCCCTTTAGGGAGCACCATATTGACCCCACAGCAATCACCAGGCATGATTTCATAGAGACCAATGGAGACAACTGCTTCATGACACTGGTCCCCTTGGCAAACATGGCATACAAATTTGTTTCTTTTTCCCCAGGTAAGCTGTGGATTTAGCATTCTGGTTGCTATTGAATGAACATTTGTCTGTGTGAAGTTTGGAGAAATCCATGGATGTGAATGACAAGAAATAGCTGTTGGAAGCATGGTGCTCCTGGCAGGAGGGAGGGAAGCTTGCTTTCCTTTGAAGTGTGGTGGCAGAAGGTGGCACAGTGAGGTTCTCCAGCTCAGCAGAGGATCTGGGGCTGGAGAGGTATGCAAGGAAGGTTAGAAGTTATGTTAAATACTCTTTTTGTAAGAGGGACCCAGCTGTGAGCATCTGGGGAAACTCATTGTTCCAAAGTGTGTAACACAAAACAATGCTTCATCTCTGGCCACAAGTACTTTGTGTGCAAACCAGAAGTTAAGAACTAAAGGATCAAATGAATTTTTTTACGGTAAACTCAGTTTGACTTCCTGTTTATGGTGTGTTGACAGACTCTGGCACTTAGCAGCCAGTCTTGTGATATTTGGGAATTGCTTATGGCTCACTGGCTCTTGTGATACTTCTGCCAAAGCAGCTTTGGTGAGGCCTTTGTCAGCTCCTGCAGCAGCAGGCAGCTCTGGCTGGGCAGGACATTGTCCTGCTGGAAATGTGCCTTTCCATGGCTAGTGCTCACAGCTGCCCGTGGTGTTTTGCAGAGGTGCTGTGTGAGACCTGTCCCTGGGAGTGTTACGTCTTTGCCCTCATCATCTTCATAACCATGACGAACCAGATCCACAAGTGGTCCCACACGTACTTTGGCCTTCCACGCTGGGTGATATTCCTCCAGGACTGGCACATCATCCTGCCCAGGAAGCACCACAGGATCCACCACGTGTCCCCACACGAGACCTACTTCTGCATCACCACAGGTACTGCCCCCAGGGCCCAGGACAGCTGGGACACACCTGCACAGTCCTGCAATTCACTGGCAAAACTGCAGCTGGGCTTTTGCATAACAAGGGGGGGGAGGTTTGTGATCAGCTCAGGGAACTCCCAGCCTGGGGGAGCAGTCAGTGGTGCTGAGATCTGATTGCAGGGGGGTCTTGCTGAGCTCAGGCCACTCATGGGGTTTGTTCACTAAAGCTGCTGTTCCTTCAAAAGAGCAGAATGCCTGCAGCTGCTCAGGAATGCTCATTTCTAAAAGGCAGGCTTCTGGGTTTTCAGCATCCACTCATTCTGACTCAGAGGAATGGACAGGTTTTGCAGAAAGCTTTAGCTTGCTTTTGTATCTGTACAGGTGGGAATGCTCAGTCACCAGTGTTGCACGATCCTAAATAAGATATCAAGTTAATTAGACAGCTGGAAATAAACCACTCTGGTTCTTCATTCTGTCATTGGCTTCGACAAACAGTTCATGTGGGTTTTGAAACCTCTGCCAAGAAAAAATCTCATTCTCATTAACAGGATGTCATGTAGAAACGTGGTACAATTAGGAAGCCTGACTTGACAGATGGTGGCAAAAATCTTGCCACCCAAAGAGCTATTTTTAAGTCCTGCTATGTCCTGAAAGTTTAAGCCTGATCATTTTTAGCAGTATTGGGCTGATTGCTTTTTTTTTCTCACTAAAAAAAGTTGAACTTTGGATGCTATGACAAACTAATCCTCTTTTTCCTTTTCAATCCCTTAGGGTGGCTGAATTATCCGTTAGAGAAGATAAGATTTTGGAGATGCTTGGAGAATATCATCCAAGGACTTACTGGGGAGAAGCCAAGAGCAGATGACATGAAATGGGCTCAGAAAATCAAATAACTTTTGCCAGCCTTCTGCAATCCTTAACTTGTTGCCAATGTTGTTTTTAAAAGAAAAAAAAAAGAAATAAAGCCATCAGCCAAATTCAAGACCTGCAAAGAAATAACAGACTCTAAAGCACAAACTAAAAAGTGCTAACACAAACTGCAATGAAAAGAACTAATTCTTAAAACAATACTTGAAATGAAGATGATTACTCTCACTGAGCACCTTTTTGTGTAGCCATGTCTGCTTACACCTTAGAAGTTGCTTTGTCGCTGTATCCGTGAGGTACCGGGCACGCCAGAGGCAGCACAGGCACTCCAGGGGGACGTGGGGGCGTAGGAATCGTGTGTTGTATCAACATTATTGAACACTTCCCAAACAGCTTCTTGCCTAAGACCTACAGGGAGAGCGGTGACGAGTTGGTCACTCGGTGTTGGAGTGCAAGGGCACTGCATGAGAACAGTGAGGGGAGCAGTGGAAGCCTGTAAAATCATGTTCAGTGCACTCAGTGACTGATGGACCTACAGCTCTGTCTTTGCTACCATGTTCAGCCTGATTGATGTCATGTGGAACAGACCTCGAGAATCCCGCTCCTCCAGGGGGCCACCAATCCTCAAGTGTCTTCAGTTTCCCTTAAAACAGAATTGTGCTACTCTCCACGTGGAATTGAGCAAAAAGTTTCTGCATAAGCCTTCAACTTCAGGAGCCTCTGGAGGAGAGGGAGGGCACCCTACAACACGTGTCTGTTCGTGTGGAGTGCTCACTGCTGAGTCTTCTATTAAGTGTTTCCTACCCTAACAATAAATGTTTGAAATAGTTCTAGCATTGGGCACACTGCAAATAGCTGTATTCAAGACCTCAAGGTATCAAACTCGTAATGTTAGAAGGGAAATGTCAATGACTGGTGTTTTGTTCTTTTTATTTTTTTTTTAAGGTGCTTGCTCATTTCTGTAAATAATATAAAGCCTTAATCTCTTCTGGTGTAATGGAATAATATTTTAATGTGATGTTTGAATGTATATAATATATTTATAACAAAGCAGTTGGATAATACTAATCATGTTGAAGTCTTGTTGGTGTTTTTCATTGCTGCACTGGCAGCACGTAGCACAAGAGCTGGATCAGTGGTTGCACAACACCTGGTGCAGTCCCACACCTGAGACACCAGGCAGCCTGTCACAGCTTGTTTGGGCTGGAGTGATCATCTGCCAGCGTTTCAGGAGCTTGGCTCTACGTTATACCACACTTCTACACCTTTCAAGGAGTGTAAGTAACTGATTCTGCTCTGGATGCAAAGGTGTGACCCCAACTGAATTGGGATGAAGAAGTTTCTCTAAAAACATCCAACAGGCACTTTATCAAGTTAATGTGATTTGGGTCTTGTTTAATTCTTGCCTGCCTGAAAGCTTACTGATGACCAAATGTAAGGTACGTTCCCTCCTCTGGTTCTAAATTGTGTTAAATTCAAACTGCCTCTTCCCAAAGAGCAAGGTAAGAGGGTTTTGAGTCATGGGTTTAGATTGACCTCGATCTCCACTTCTTCAGATATGGTGGATGGATTCTGAATGAGTTGGGACCTGGCAACTCACTTTCAGTGGGAGGTGCTGAATGCAGGTGCCTCTGAGCTGGGTTCTGCAGATTAAAATCAAAGTTGGTACCTTGGTCACAAAATATTTCATGTAAGTTCAGACCCTTGGAGAACTTTATGCCATTACATGAAACTGTTTTCTGTTCCCATTGCCACAGTCAATACCAGGTCTCTGTGCAGCTTTGACATTAAAGAATTCTTCCACTTCAGAAGGAGTCCCAAAATGTTTTCAGTTGATTGTGGAGAGCTCTGGACAGAAGTGGGTGGATGTTCAGGGCTCCTGTGTAAACCAGCCTGAAGGACTGGGTCCTCTGAGAGCTCTTTTCACCGCAGGTTTAAATGCCAGGTGAGCAGCACTGGTGCAGTGGATGGAACAATTGGATTTGGGACACAGAAATCACCAGAATTTGAACTTCCAAAGTGCTGTTTAAGGCATTGCTGCTGCCCAAACCTCCCTTGGCCACTGTCACACTACTGGAAACAAATCTGAGCTACTCATACTGGTGGCTGCTGGGACTATTTATCTGTTAATCTTGCTTAATTAGGAGAAACTGGGACAGAGTTAATCTCCAGCTGCATTTTCCAGGTGGATGCTGTGCTGGGCTCCTGGGGCAGCGCTGGCTCTGTGGCTCCCCTCACCCGACGTGCCTGCGGCTCCCAAGGTCCCTGTTCACCCCTTCAAGGATGTGGATGCTCCCACAAAATCAGTATGGCAATTCTGCAGCAAAAGGCTGCCTGGCTCCTTCTTAACAGCTGTAAAGCTGGCTTAAGAAAATTTGCCTTAAGTTGATTAGGAACAGATTAGAGCTGAAGCAGAATAAGGCACTCCTGTTGAACTCCTCAGGGATGGATGGCCTGCGTTTCAGTTCAATGCTTTTAAATGCTTTCAAAAGCTCTCTGATTTCAGTCTCACCTCCACAGAGAGCTCTGCTCAGGCTCCTGCTCTCTGCACCCTCAGGCCTCCAGCTTTTGCTGGGGTTGCAGCTGCCCTGTGTGAGTGGATCTTGTGGTCAGGAGGGCCTTGGAGGAGCAGGGGTGATCCCTTGTGTGCATCCCAGGAGTGATTCCCTGTGTGTGTCCCAGGGATGATTCCCTGTGTGTATCCCAGGGATGATTCCCTGTGTGTGCATCCCAGGAGTGATTCCCTGTGTGCATCCCAGGAGTGATTCCCTGTGTGCATCCCAGGAGTGATTCCTTGTGTGCATCCCAGGAGTGATTCCTTGTGTGCATCCCAGGGATGATTCCCTGTGTGTGTCCCAGGAGCAGGGATGATTCCCTGTGTGCATCCCAGGAGTGATTCCCTGTGTGCATCCCAGGGATGATTCCCTGTGTGTGTATCCCAGGGATGATTCCCTGTGTGCATCCCAGGGATGATTCCCTGTGTGTGCATCCCAGGGATGATTCCCTGTGTGCATCCCAGGAGTGATTCCCTGTGTGCATCCCAGGGATGATTCCGTGTGTGTGCATCCCAGGGATGATTCCCTGTGTGCATCCCAGGGGTCATTCCCTGTGTGCATCCCAGGGATGATTCCGTGTGTGTGCATCCCAGGGATGATTCCCTGTGTGTGTCCCAGGAGCAGGGATGATTCCCTGTGTGTGCATCCCAGGGATGATTCCCTGTGTGTGTATCCCAGGGATGATTCCCTGTGTGCATCCCAGGGATGATTCCCTGTGTGTGCATCCCAGGGAT